CCGCGGTTGGCATCAGGCTGGCAGCACCCACAAAGCTGATCCCCATGTTCCGTTGGGGAGATGAGCGGGGCAGCTCGCCGGGCATCCCGCCCTCCCAGCCATTGGCACGACCGCGGGAGACAGTGAGGCCGAAGACGAAACGTGACCTGAACCTTCTGACGCAGCAGCAGGAGATGCCACCACTAAGGATGAGCCGGGAGAAGGGAGAGCTGGCTACTGCCAACACCACGCCTGGAGGACTTGGATTTTTGGGACCAACCCAGCCACTTTAAATAGAAATTTGGGTCCCTAGAGAGCAGGCGCTTGGCCTTCACCTCCGCATCGGCACAGAGACACCAGCCCGTTATCCCCTACCCGAGTCAAGGTCTGCAGCGCCAGAGCAAGAAGCGTACAACAGGTTCTCGGAGCGTGGAAAGGGCTGGGCCGCTGAGGTTGCTGAAGCTAACTACGAGGTATGGAATCATAGAGGCACAAGTTATCTGATACTTCCTTGTCCTTCTTCTCCTCCCTGGGCACATATTCCACCTCCCAGGTTCGTTAGCTCCACAGTTCACTTCCTTGATGTCCTACGTTGTCCAAAAAACCATAAAAAGAGATACAAATCCAGTGAAATTCAGACAGCAGGAGGAATTTGGCTTCAACAAAGGACCAGGGCAGACTTGGGGGGGCGTGGGGGGGTGAAGTGGCATAGGACACTCCATACTGGAAGAGGAGAAACGTGATGGCAGCAACGCCTTGGCATGCCTGCCTGCTGCTTTGGGTCCTTAACAATACACCTGAAGCAGAGGTGCCCCAGAGGAGTCAGTCTCTGTGTCTTGGAAAGAGGAATTTCTGCTTGTTGGAGAGCCTTGGAGAGGAAAGAGAAGAGATGGTGACATTAGACAACGTGAACTGTGGCAGCCTGGCAGTTAGGCAAGCAACTGCCACAAAGGCTTTGTGTATCATGAGGGAGGAGGAAGCCACCCAAAGCCCACAGGCAGGGAACAACCCTGCCCGTATTTAGCCATCTTCGAGGCCAGCTCTGTCATTATGCAGGAGAAAACTTGTCTTTTAGCCCCGGGCTGCTCTTTGGAGCAGAACACGAGGATCGGCACTCAGGGGACAGCCCCACACTCCCCCCTGCTTCCCTTTTGCACAGTTCCCAGGATCGCCCAGCTGTGACCTTAGCCAGTCACACCCCAAATACAGCCCCCAAAACTTGTATCAGGACACCCCGAGACTGAAAGCTCTCACACCAAGTCCTGTGCACGGACAGAGAGCACTCCAGACTTGGATTTATTCTCCTTCAGAAGGACCCACCACCCCGGGCAGTCCCCAGCCTTCGAGGCAGGCGTCAGCTCAGCCTTTGCAGGGGGTGAAAACCGCAGGCGTATGCAACACAAGAGGTTTCCCCTGGCTCCTGTGATGCTGCTGCAGCCAAGACCCCTCGCCAGGTTTGTTACCTGCGCTGCTGTGCCGCCTCATGTTCCTGGCTATCACGTCTGCTGGCGTTTCTTCCGATATCTGCACGGCTAAATCTGGAATGCAAACCAAGAGGGCCTGAGACAGGAAAGGATGGGCAGGGGTGACTCGAGAGTAAGGATCCCTGTCAGGGAATGCAGGGGGTTTCCTTCGGAAGGCACCGTGCTTGGGTAAAGGGGGAGGTAGAGTCTGGTTCGTCAGATGCTCCCACCGCTGCCTTTATGGTCCTTAACGACCAGGAAGTGACAGCAGCCTTACTGCTAAGCCACAACAGCCACCCAGTTCCCTCCGTCACTTCTGGATGTCTCCTGGCCTCCCAGACTCTTTCCTGGGAGCTTTTTGGGTTTTTCCTTACAACAAACTCTCTTAGAACCCGTTCTGGAGGTCAGTCACTTCAGGCTGCTCCAGACAAGGACAACATCCCTGAAAGAGCCTCGAGGCTTTCACACTGCGGCAACAGCCCTTCCCGGCTCTTTGCAGGGATATTTCCTGGCTGCCCCTCACCCCACGGTGTGGAGGAAGTCTCAGCTCCAGGGAGGTGCTCTATCGCGGCGGGCTAGGGGTGGCATGAGCAGAGAGCGCTGGCAGAGCACGAGGGCGAGAGCCAGCTCGGTAACTGGACATCCTCTGGCACAAGCCAGCTTGTCCGGTCGTACCAGTTAAGTTTGACTCACGGTCTTCCTGCCCAGCACAGAGGTGAGCCAGAATCACGGCCAAAGCAGCAGAATAAGCAAACTTCACTGAGGGGAAGATACTATCAAGAAAGCCACAGCGGTGACCGGCGAGAAGCAGAGGTCTCCAGTAATACGTAAGGACCTCCCTTCACACATCCCGGGAAAATAAGCCCAGGTGGAAGACAGACACAGCTTTCGACCCTGCTCCGCTGCCGCAGCTCCATAACCCTCTCCCATGAACCCGCACGTACCGTCTTGGCTGATGACCATGGACTCCAGCATCGTTTCGTTACCGCTGTCGGGTGCGTTGCCTCTGCTGGACTTCTCCTCGTGGCTCTGGCTGGCTGGGATAGAAATATGGGGCCGGACCCTGCTTTTCCGGGTGCTGATGCGTATGATGCCTCGGACCAGCCTGCATTCAGCATCCTGCTCATCCAGGTTGTAGTCCTGAGTTATGCTGTTGATGAGGTCCGAGATCTTGTTGGTCTTCTCCAGGAAGACAGTGTCTGACGTGCACTTGGCCAGCTCGTCGATCTGGTGGACGCTGAAGAGCTCCGTCAGCTTCTTGAAGATCAGGATGTCGATCTCCCTGCTGGACATGGAGCCGTTCAGCTCGCTGATGTCCAGGTCGGACTCGTGGAAGGAGTAATACTCCTCCGAACTCCGGTGGCTGCTGGGGAGTGGTGGCTTTTCGATGCTGTTCCTGAAGGGCTTCTCTGGCAGCAGCTCTTTGCAGCATGAATCCGCTTCCAGGTGGTGGCTGGGGCTCCTGTTTTGTTAGACAGGAAAGCACTTCAAAAAACTGGGTAACTGAAACTGCTGCCCATGCTGGACTTTTTGATCTGGTTCCCATTCTTCTCGGTGGGAGAGACGTTGGCGGGGCTGTTTGGCAGCCGCCCATTGTAATCTCCGTTCTTTCCGTCATCAGTGGAGGTCTCGGAGGGCCCAGAATAGGGGATACAGACGTTGCAGTCCTGAAAACAGCCCCCACAGGTCACTATACAACAGAAAACGGCCTTGTACGTGTTCCAGGCCCGAGACAGAAAGGAACAGCAAAAGCTCTGGGTTGGGGGAACCTCTGCTGTGCCAGAAATAAAGGTAATTGTTTCTGTCTCTCTCCCGTTCAAGTCTTTGAGGTCAGCTTTGCGACCCTTCCTATCCCGCATCTGTTGGGCTCTGCTGCGGCTCTGTCTGATCTCAGGCGTAGAGCCGCTGAACACCTCCAAGCTGACATCCGTCTCCTTGGATGGTCGGGTCCGCAGGGGCACGGCCTCCTGGCAGGACTGGTTCAGCTGGCGGTGGCTGTTCAGGTCGTGGGGGAGTCCTCTTTTCCGGCCCAGCATGGCTCACCGCTCAGGCACCTGGGGAAGGAGGAGGTCTGAAGTCAAAGCAAGCACTTGTCACCAGCGTTACCCTAGCCAGATGTCGTTCCACAGAGGTGCTGGCCCACCCAACTTTCAAATCCAGTGATTCTCAAACTCAGTGTTTCAATTATTTACAGAAATGGTTTGCATTACGCTGCTCTCACTTGTAGCATAGAGGGGATCCAGCGCGTGTGTCAGGGTTCTCCGCTACTCTAGTTTTGCTGCTTCCTTTCCGAAGATGTGTGAATCAGAGGAGGTATGTTTTAAAAGGACTAATTTTCACAGAATCATGCAATGGTTTGGGTGGGAAGGGAACTTAAACCCCCCCCAGCCCCACCCCCTGCCATGGGCAGGGACACCTTCCACTAGCCCAGGTTGCTCCAAGCCTCATCCAGCCTGGCCTTGGACACTCCCAGGGATGGGGCATCCACAGCTTCTCTGGGCAACCTGTCCCAGTGCTCCCCACCCTCTCCGGGAAGAATTCCTCCCTGATGTCCCATCTCCATCTCCCTCTTCCTGTTTAAACCCGTTACCCCTTGTCCTGTCATTCCCTGCCTTTGGAAAAAGTCCCCCCCAGCTTCCTTGTAGCCCCCCCAGGCACTGGAAGGGGCTCTAAGGTCTCCCAGGAGCCTTCCCTTCTCCAGGCTGAACCCCCAACTCTCCCAGCCTGTCCCCATGGCAGAGGGGCTCCAGCCCTCGGAGCATCTCCGTGGCCTTCTCTGGAGACCAACCAGTCGATATCCTCTTTTTAAGACATCAGGATCCTGTAACCTTCAGAAGAGGGCACGTGGCTGGGAGACCAGGCTCCAGAGCCATAAATGACAGCACAGCCGTAGGTGGAGCCCGCTGGCAGGCTCCGAAGGGAAAGTATCTTCTTTTAAACAACTTCCCTTTTGTCTTGTATTCCTTGGGATTAAGCCAGGCTCTCGGACAGTGCTTATCTTCTTCAAAACGCACCATTCCCAGGAGGAGATGACCAGCAATCAATCATCATGCAAACTCCCAATGCAGACTCCAGATTATTCAGCGTTACTCAAATTTAGAGGATTTAGCAATGACACGTTACTAACGCTGACGGTTTCTGCGAGTCATGCTAAGGCCGCGTTACCTTAAGGACTCTCCTAGGAAAAATCAATGTCTTCATCTGGATTAAAGGACAGATTTTGCCAACAAGTCGGTCTCAAATCTCGAGGGAGCAAAATCTTTACAAACCCCTGCTACAGAAATCCTACAGCAGCCTGCTCGGCTGTTTTTCTCCTTGCCACCGCGTAACGCAACTACCCCAGGTCTGCTCGCGGGAGTAAATTGTTTTTACAGGGTACTACGTCACCCTTCAGCTCCAGGGATCCAACATGCGGCGCTTGGCACATCAAATCTCCCTGTTACGGAGAAATCTGGGCACTGGGCGATGGTGAGGAAAGCCAGGCGGTCGCTGCCGCTTTCATCCCAGACTACGGTGGGCCCCTAAACTGTCCACGCTTTCTAAGCTTCTTGGCCAACACTGCTTTCACTCCCAAGAGGTCCTTTTAAATACTAATTAGGCTAATTAATGAGCAGAGCCCAGCTATAGCTTGTTTGTGGACTACCCCCGCTGCTCTACTATATACTTTCTATAGGGCACCTCAGGCTTGAATAAACACATCTATCCCACCTCGTTAGAGTGTTGGTTTAAAAAAAAGGGGGAAAAGAGGCAAACAGTAACGTTGCCCCCACAAAGAAACAGGCACAGGCTGAAGACCAGGCAGTTACAGCACACCTCTGCTTTCCAGGAATATTTTGGTTCTATTAGCTTATAAAAATCCGTAAGTAGTGCCATGTCCCAGGAGCTCCCTTTGCACATTCCTGGATAATGTTACATATAAAAGCCCCAGTTCCAATGCTGAGCAGGCAGAGCTCCCTAGACTCGGCGTCGGTGGAGTTTGGATTGCTTTCACTTCAGAACAACAGTTTTTTTTTTTCTTCAGCTTCATTTTTGTTCAAAATTCAAAAACGAATCACCATGAGCTGATGTACTGGGAATTGCTTACTGGGATGTTTCTCTTCATACCGGGGCCTCATCAAGAGACCCAACGTACGCACTGCACAGCAACATCATTTGAACAGCAACAGATAATATTCTGACACTTCAGGGTATTTTTGACACGGGGGAGTGCATTATCGCAGCTCTACAGAGAAAGACAGGCTGAGAGATTAAACCACTTGCCTGACAGGGCACAAACCCTGTGTCAAGCGTCAGAGACGCCTCTGGCCCCCAAATGCCGGGCCCCTTCCCATCACAGCTCATGGTTCTGCAACCACCGGATCACACTTCTGATTAGATCCCTGGGTACAAGACACAGCTCCTTGATCCAGCTGCTTCTCTGGCACAAACACCAGACTGGACCGAAACCGGCTGCTGAACACAGCCATAAAGAAAAGCTGGGACTGAAAATCCCCAGCCGAGCTGATACTCACGGGGTGGCTGGGAGCTTCCTCTGTTCTCAGGCAGGCACCGGGTGCGAAAAGCCAAGATCCTTCTGAAGAACTTCAGCATCTGCTTCGGAGGAGCGAGGAGGGAATTCACAGTTTGCGCGTCTAAGAGTTAGCCGGGGTCTAAGATCTTCATTGTTCAGAGGGCAGGATTTCCTTGGAAAGTTTTAAAAAAGCTAAATTAAGTTGTGAAGTTAATAAAGTTACATCAGTTTTGCCAATAACCATATTACCACTGTTGTTCCAAGCTAGGGAAGTCAAAGCACTGATCCTAAATTCAGGATGCAAGATTTACACATGGATACGTCTTCTCTTAACTATAGGGAAGTGTCAACAGCTGTTAAGTTTTTTAAGCAACCTTACCAGCAGCTGAAAGCTGCCCTGTAAAGCTCCCAGATTCCCGACTGCTCTGCCCACAGTGACACAGAGCCGGACTCTTCCCGGCGCTCCTGTATCCTCTCTCTCAGCTACTTGGGATATAAACAACCCGGCCAAGGAACGGCCTCTCGCCAAACACTTCCCGATGCCAGTTCCAGCTGACAACCACCGTTCACGTAAACAAAATTCGCCCCTTCCTTCTCACAAACAAAGCGCTGCAGGGGGGAGACCCGCCTGGGCCCCATGCAGACCCCTCTGCCTACCCTGGACGTCCTCGAGAAGGTGCACATCCGTGAGAAGGGAAGCTGGCAGCAGGGAACAGC